ACCCTAACTGCAAAACTACCCAAATGTGAGGTTTGGATTAAAAATTCATAATGTGCTTTCCTGATATTGAGACATGTTCATGCTAAAATATTAAATAAAACATCAGGAAACAAATGCACAGATCTCATCAACTCAGCTGAAAAGACCTGACCGTCCTGGGCTCACAGCCCAGGCTGGCCTCAAACTCACAGAACCTCCTGCCTCAGCCTCCCAAGTGCTGGGATTTTCGGCATGCACTACCACACCTGGCTTATTTCATTTCATTTCACTTTAGTATTTCATGCTGGGGACTGAACCCCAAATGTTGCCCAAGACAGGCAAGTGCTCTACCACTGAGCTCCTAGACTTCAAACCAGAAATACTTCTTCTATTGAGACACAACACCATAGAGAATACATTTTAATATAGAGGGCCCTAAAAGGATTTTGAGAATTGTAAAACCCAAGGCCCCTGAAACACAGGTTCTGTCTCAGAAAGACTTTGTTTCCATGTTGAGTCCTGAGCAGCAGTCACTGGCTCACAGGCAGCGGCAGTGCTACTCAGCGAGTCCTACATCACTGGAAGGCACTCAGGGGTTTATTTATGCAGACCACAACTGGGCCCACCAGCAGGCACATGCGTGCCTCCACTGGGAGCGCATACCCAGATGGGCTGCCCCGTGCCACCCAGGGCAGGCAAGGGGTTCACCCGTGCTTCACAGCCACATACACGAACATGTTAATGTCAGTTTTACATCTGTAAAAGTTGTTCAAGTTGATTCTGCTTTTATTTAAACAAAAAGAATGCACACATCCAGAGCCCATTGCTTTTCTTTAAAAGTAAGACATTACTAAGTGTAATTTCTACAGTATAAATCAGTGAAGGAGATGAATAGTAGGTCTTATTTATAAGAAACAGAGAAAGACATCTAATCCTTCTCTAGTTAGTATACTACCAAGACAAACACTGTAGCTAAACTGGGTTGCAAACCGTGTAACATTTATAAAGTTTCTGGCAGCATAGCTTTGTATCTTTAATTTATCTTCCAGAAAACCAAACACACACAGGCTGAACATGCTGGCTTCAGTAACTGGCATCAACCAGAGCAGTGAGAATGAGCTCCGGGTCTTTAGGGCTGCCACACAGAGCAAAGCCAAGCCGGTCTGAAAATGAAGGAGCTGAGCTATTTACAGAGCCAAACGAACTTGTTCCTCATCATTTTACTGACTCCCAGTAACGCTGAGGTCTGTGGATACTTTTGCCGTAGAAGTCTGCACTTTGGATGCTTCGTGGACGGGACTGGATCAAGGCCACCAGGGCTGGGACTCCCGTGCACCCTCTCATCACTGGTCCCCCAGCCGCGACTTGCCGGGGCCTGCACTGCGTCAGTGTGTGAGCGTGCAAGAGGAAGCAGACACAACTTTCACGTACAGTGATGGGGACAGAGAGGGAGGAAGACGGCTATGCCCCCGGCCTCATGAAGCACCGACGGCGTAAATGTTTTTACGTGCAACTGTAACTGCCACTCTTCCCTCAGAGCCCTCCCCTTCACGTTGAACACGTGCATCCCATCACTCCTGGCCCTTTCTGGAACCCTCTTTTGTGAGTATCTATGACGTGTGATCAAAAATACGGTAAATACTGCTGCTGAGGGCCACTGGCCAGAAAACTTCATAAAGTTTCACAGAAACATGACAGTGCACCCTCTTCCACATTACCCACATGACCCAGCACTGTACAACTGTGGCTCTTCCCTGAAGGGAAACTGACCGGCAAAGGTAAATGTTCTGCATCGATTCTGGATCTCACAGCCAAGGCAGCACAAGAGACGCTCGCAGAAGGGGCCTCCAGGCTGCTTCAGAGTGACAAGCACTCTGGGACAAGGTGGTCTAAGAGGGAGGGAGGGCTCTGAGGGGAATCTGTGGCAATGTACTTTGTACTGTAATACATTTTTAAAGAAAAACAAATGCGTGCTCACCGTGTTTTTGATCATGCTGCCTATAATCTAGAAATAAACTGGCGCTGGTGGTGGCTGGCTTTGTCAGGGAAACACAGACTTCAGCAACAGAAAAGAGGCTTGGGGAGGCTGTGTGCTCTAGATCTTCCATCAGCGAGACCGCAGAGACAAGGGAGAGATGTGCAAGCGACAAGCGATGACCTGAGCAGGAAGAGGCCTGGCTGTCGCTAGCAGCAGGCAGAATTGGCTTCGCTGCTCACAGGTCGGCACTGGGCGCCCACCGGGGGAGGCAGCGCCGAGCAGCCAGGGTCTCCAAGGGCGCTGTCACCAGAAAGAGTTGATGTCATTTCATGAGGCACCTGAAGCTGAACCTAGCTAAGAGGAAACAGGGCCGGAAGGAACACGTTACGTAAATCCAGCGAGCGTATCTAGGCTGTGCGATGTTCCGCAGCGAGTGGCCTTGTGGATTCACAGACTCTATTCTGTTTACAGAAAGTGGAGGCGGCTCAGATTAGAGCAGAGCTCGGGATGATAACGATCAGAAGTAATAAGTGGCCTTACAAACGCCTGGCCAGAAAGAACAGAAGGCTATGTCCTTAATAGAAAACTTGGCAAAACAGGGTGGTGAAGCAGCTATTAGGAAATGACCGTTAATTTTTGTTAAAGGGGAGCTCATGGCGCGGCATCTATTCAAAGCAAATGTTTTTATCTTTTAAGTACCCAAACGGAAATGCTGGTAAAATGTCCCGATGTTTGCAATTCATCTGAAACAAATGGGGCACAAAGCCTAAAATTCCCTGAACTTCTCGCGGAGGATCTGCGTGTGTTCACTGTAATGTGCTTTCTACACGTTTAAAAAAGTGTCTAGGTAAAGCTTCGATAAATAAGCTTCAGAAGGACTTGCCAAGGTACTAATTTTCAAGGTATTGTCTTTTCAGAAGACAGCACAGAGGGAGTTTTGCACTGTGCCATGGGTAAAGAAATCTGAGTGGTAACTTCCAATTATTAATGCGTCTGCACCCATGCCACGGTCTACGGGGTCATCGTGGGGGCGCGTGGCTGGGAGCCGACCAGCACCTGGACCCCAAGTCCAGCGACACACAGGTGCTCCTGGACTGTCTCTCGTCCCTGCGCCCCCCCCGCCCCCCCCCGCACCTCCTTTTGGGATAGGCGCGCAGGCCAGCCCTCCCCCAATCAGCGCCCGTCGCGTCACCGAGCTGCCTACGCAAACTCCGCCCCGGCCCAATCCCATAAGAGGGCCAGCCTCTGTCCCCGCCTCCAGGGTCCCTGGCTTCCCGCTTGGTCACCCTCCCTGCACCTGGCAATGAGGGATTCCTTTGCTTTGACCCGCTTCTCTGTTGTGCCTGAGGAAGGAAGCTTACAATCATCTTCTTTTAAAAGTTTACCTCAAAACACTAGACATTACTCTGAGAGCTAATAGCTGAAACTAGGCACTGCGCTTGTTTAGACCTACAGCTGGTGCTCCTTACCAAAATTCCTCACATAGCTCCTTGCAGGAGAAAGTCCAGCGTGACAAAGAACTGTCTTGCAAGGTCTGAAGTCTACAGAGAAAATAACCAGTTCTTAATTTGGCCAAACCTAACACTTTGCCCAGATTTCTACCACTCAGACAAAAACGCCTAAGAGAAGAAGGGTTTCCGTGAGCTCACTGTGCCAGAGGCTTCAGTCAGGCCGTGGTCGGTTTGCCCACTTGCTTTTGGGCCTTGGATGAGGCCCCACGCCGTGGCAGGAGCATGTGGAAGCCGAAGCCGCTCACCTCAGAGTGCCCCAGAAGTGAGAGAGAGAGAGGGAGAGACAGAAGGGGCTCAAGGCCCGGATCCCCCCAAAGACACACCACCAGTGCCCAGCTTTCTCCTACTAGGCCATGCCTCCTAAAGTTTCCACCACTTCCCAATAAATGCCACCAGGACATCACCTTTGGGAGCTACTTAGCCATGTCCTAGTGCAAATGAGCTTCCCATTTTACCACCTTACTCACTATCGTTACTGAAGGTGGAACATCTCCTACACCCCCACGTGCACACCATCCTTCTGTCTTCTACTAAAATCCTGTGCTGTTTTAAAACTATTGCTACTGGGGGCTGGTGAGATGGCTCAGTGGTCTAAAGCACCTACTTAGAACAAGCTTAACAAAGCACAGGGACCGCAGTTCAATCCCCCAGCACCACATGCCAGCCAGCCCCGCCCCCTGGTGGGCTAAGCTGGCCACACACACACACACACACACACACACACACACAAATAAATTTAAATAAATAAATAAATAAAACTATCGCTATTTAAGGAATTCTGATTGTCACTAAAGATCCGAAGTTTCTATTTCAATGCTACAGTGCTCAACTGTTTTATCAACTTATCTAAATATTTTTCATGAAATCTGAGTTCTACCATAAGCAAATTCATATGGAAATAAGAATGCCACGCAATGGCTTTTACAGAACTCAAATCAAATACTTTAACAGTAGCTACAAAATACCTCCCATCTCTCTTTTTCACCTTTTCTGTTCAGATTTTTTCTCCTTCATGTTTTCTAAAAATAGAAGGGCCAACTATGGCCCATACCTAGTGTTCTCTTCTCCCCCATGGCCTTGAAGCCCAATAAGAAGTCACAGGCAGGTCAGAACGTAATGGACGTGGCCACAGCATACTGATGGTGTTGTCCCCAGCTGTCCCAAGCAGCTCCTACCTGCCCCAGGCCCTGACAGCTGCAGCTGGCATGGGTAAGGCAGCTTGGAGGGGGGAGGGCTCGTTTGCCCGGGACCATCCAGGGCATCTAGCACACCGCCTGCCTTAACATGCTGCTGGCAGTGTTTCCCACTACGGAGGTGCAAAGAACAGCAGCTACAAGGAAGTGACTTTGCCCATTTCCACAGGTGACAAGAAAGATGTCATGTACTACTCCTACTATTCCTGTGACCGTCCCTGGTGGACAGCAAGGAGATCAGAGTGTGTACAAGTTGAGGAACAAGACGGGCCTTCCCAGCAGCCCCCACATGCCCGCCTTCCAGCAGCAGGTCATCTCCAACAGCTCTGACCAACCTACCTGTCGTAAGTCCAAAGTGATGGTGACCCAGTGGTACTCTCTCCCGTTCTGGATGCTGGGGCTCTGCCACCAATTATTGGTGCCATCAATGGCATTTGATATTGGATGGCGCTCTGTTAAAAAGAAAATAAAACGTGTGTACTTCTCAGCTCTTGCTTTAAATTCTACAGCACATTCATGGTCTCTAATTAAAGACTTAGCACCTCTGAAAGCCACCAGGGTGGCCCCAGCTCGGTGAGCGGGTGCAGGGCGGGGGTGCTGAAACACACTACTCTAAAATGAGGAAAGGAAATGACTGAATATAGCATAGCACAGCGCAGCCAAACATAAAATGATAAAACGAATTGTTAGGAGTAGGAGCCTCACTTACCTTTGGGGTTCACACTGTTGGCGTCACAGAGCCGGCACTGGGCGTTGCGTGCACGCCTGCCGGGCACGTGCTCCACGAGCTTGCAGGACATCTCCGGTCCCTTTTCGCCACAGGTGGCATTGGCACTGATCTCAGCATTGGTGGCCAGATTGAGAATGGCGGGGAACAGGCCTGCAAGTCAAAATTTCACCCGATCATGCAAACTGTCCAACCCCGGGCACCGGAGCACTGAGGCAGAGCTCACACCCGCGCCCTGGGCGGAGCGAGCCTGGCCCAAAGCGGCGCGCAGAGTGCGCTCGCGGATGCGAACCCCGAGAAGAGCAGACTCCTCCACGAGAGGAGCGCTAACGCTGGCCTCAGCGCCAGGGACTGACCTCAGCAAAGGCCCACGAGCGAGTTTCCTGGGAGAAAACTATGACCAGCATCCTAGTGACAGGCAGACATGGTTGTGACAATGAATCACTTCTGGGCATCTGAGATTTTGGCAGGCTTGGGTATTGAAGTACACGTAAGTTTTATCTCAATGAATAAAAAGGGTCATAAACCAGTTGATGCGGGTGCCCAAATGCTTATAAATTTCGTATTTATGCCTTCTGCTCATTTTAGAAAGCATCAAAAATAAGCCTAGGTACCAGAGAGATAGCCAGTGGAGTAAGTGCTTGCCTGGCATACACAAGGCCCTGAGTTTGATCCCTAGTACCACCAAAAAAAAGAAAGCAAGCCTGGTGCGTGGAGAGATGGATACTCGGTCAAAAATGCTCTCTTTGCAATCCGAGCGAAGGTTTGCAGCACCACGTTTTCTCCTCTGAGGATGAAGATTTTCATAATAAAATGTTGGGAAGATGGGTTTAACTCAAGATTCAAAACCACATTCTGAGCAAGGAAATCGCACACCTCCTGTTCAGGCCAGGGGTGGCTTCTCCTGTGTCCTCTGTGTCCCCTCGTCATTTCTGTAATTACGTAAGGTTTTTTTTCTCTTTCTCTCTGCTTGCTTTACTGCTTGTTTTCTTTGGTGAATAAAACTTTAGAATACAAAGACCCAGTTTTCAAAATTCTCTTCATCTCTGCGCTTGTAAAGTCCCTTTGTCTCCACAGATTTTATCTTTAAATAGCTGGGATCAGTACCAGGTCCAAACTCCTCAGAAAATAACTGTTGCGTAACCATGGGAAAGCATCTCCATTAGGTTCTGTATCCAGTACTGCTCTAGCTGTGTTTTGGTAAAAGAAGATAAGAACAGGGACGATTTCAGAGAGATCTAGAAACTTGTACAGGATGGAGAACACGGACAACATGGAGAGGGTGTTGGCACTGTGGGGTTTCTCTCACTTCCAGAACTTCAGCTTCAAAGGTCACAGAATATAATCTTTGTAAAGGACATCTGGCCAATACTGTTTCTCAAATGTTTGTTTTCTAGCGAAATTTGAAAAATAGCCCAGTATAATTTTAGTTTGGTAGGAGGTCTCATTGATATCTTCAATTTTTACATTTCTAGGTAGTACCTAATATGCTCAATGCTATTTTCTCTTAAAATGTTTACATCATTTAAATTATTAAAAAGTACTTATTTTTGTAAGAGTCACTGTGTTAAAAAACAAACTGATCATGCACCTATTTTTAAATTTTATTATGTGGTCTCTAAAACTTTTTACATAAAGCTGAATTATCCCCATTAGTGGTTCTACTATTGCAGAAAAATCCTATTCAAGTCAATGAACTGGACATTATATCCCTGAATAGGAAAGTTAATATTCTAGAGCATTCTCATAATTTGGAATATAACACAGATTTGCATCAGATACTGTTTAATAAGTTCATTTGCTCTTTTACTCTCTTTCTTTTCAAACAGTGTACTGCTATATAGTTCAAGCTCGCCTTGAACTCACTATGTAGCCCAGGATAGCCTCAAGCTCCTGGTGATCCTTCTGCCTCAGCCTCCCAAATGCTGAAATTACAGGTGTGCACCACCATGCCTGCCTATTTTCATTTTTATTTAAAGCTGGTTATTTTAATCATATTCCTTTATGGGGACTTCTTTGAAAATTAAAAAAAGAATACAAAAACACTTTATGAGAAACCAAATGAGTCCCTGCTTAAGTGTACCATGTCCCCCAAGTAATTATTTTTATAAATTAACAGTTAGATACGCAATTTTCTCTTGGGTTTTTGTTTTGTGTAATGTGGCCTCACGACGGTACCCAGGCTGGCTCTGAACTCCGGGTCTGAGCGACCCTCCTGCCTCAGCCCCTGCCCCACGAAGCCGGGGTCACAGCACACCTAGCTGACAATATATTCGGCGTGAGGGCGCAGCTGCTAAGTGACGTGTAAATCCTTCAGCATGGCACGAGCCTGGCAGAGGAGCTGACATCTGTGGTCTGACAGCAAGAAAGGCCAGCATGACAAAGAACAGTCTTGCAAGGTCTAAAGTTTAGATAGAAAATAACCAGCTCTTAATTTAGCCAAATTAACACTTTGCCCAGGTTTATACCACTCAGACAAAAATGCCTAAGAGAAGAAGGGTTTATGTGAGCTCACTGTGCCAGAGGCCTGGTGGACCAAAATTTCACATTGTTCTTCTGAGCTAATAACTTAAAGCAGAACATGTTTTCAAACTTTGGTGTTTTATCCAAGCAGTGAAGATCACATCTTGCCTTCTGCATTCCACAAGTGCACTAAGATCTGCGGCTGCATCAGCCCTGTCCATTCCCCTGAGGTTCCAGGAACGGAACCAGCAGTGCCCTTCTCCACAAACAGCAAGTACTTGCCTACACGACACTCCCCTTTATTCACTTCATGGGGCTGCCGGACATAGAGAACGCTCCATTTCCTGTGCAGAGCACCCTTTAGTTTTGGAGGTGAAGGACCAGGCAGTCATGGGGCCACCCCATTCTCTTATGCTAGCGTCCTGAGTCACTAAGAGAAAGCAGCTCAACCTCAGGATATAACACAACATCACCTCAGTGAGCAATAGCTCAAACCTAGTCCTCAACAATGAGTAGCTCTTTGTGCTAAGTAGGTTTTGCAATTGTCCAGTCTGGGCTACGAGCGAGGCTCAGGGGTCGAGCTCTTGCCAGCACATGCCAAACCCTAGGCTCAGTCCTCAACCCCCAACACTGCAAAAAAGGAGGAAGAGAGGAAGGGGGAGGGGGAGGAGGAAAAAATGACTTTTATTAGCATTGACTACACAGAGAAACCTTTAGATAATTAATTTATTTTAAAAAATCCAGGTTGCCTTCCACTAAAACTGAATCTCAGAGGAGCTACTATGAGGTAGGGCTTGGGGTCCTCACTAAAAATGACGCCTTACACACACACTGTACCTCCCCTCTCTCCGTGGAGTCACCCTTACTCCTTTCGGCTCGGCCCAGACCCTGTGGAAAATAAAAGCAAGCTGAGGGTGGGGGAGGTAGCTCAGTGGCCAAAGCGCCTGCCTGGCAAGTGCAAGGTCCCGAGTTTGATCTCTAGTACCACATGGCATGCCAGCCCTGGAACCCAGGGTGCACCATGTGGGCTACCAAAACCAAGTGTGGTGGCGCATGCCTGTAATCCCAGCACTGGGCAGGCTGAGACAGGAGGATCACTTATAGTCCAAGCTGCATAGCAAGACCCTGTATCAAAAAAAAAAAAAAAAAAAGGCAAGCTGGAAAGAGAAAGAGGTGCAGGATTTTGGGGACATTCCCCTAGGTTGCTGAACCATTTTAAAGACAACTGAAATATTTCGACCCAGAGCAAGCGGGAGGGCAGCAGGCAGGAGACAGGGTCAGAAAGCAGAGTTTGGAAGGGCCCGGGGCTCGAGAGCCCACCAAGAGTAAAAGTTTGGTTTCACACCTAAAAATGGAGCCAAGGCCGAGCGCTTGACCCGTGTCACTCAGGAGTCTTGAGGAGCCTGTTGCTTTCTGCAGTCATGGTGGCCGCGTTAGGCATTTATAACTTCCTCTCCCTTTTGGACACACGACAGTCACCCCCTGGGCACGGACTGGAGACCTCAGGACACCAAACGCCACCAAGCACGAAATGAATTCCGCCCCATGCACCGGTCGCCGTGGCTCTGCCGGAAACTCGGCCTCCCCGGTGCCTCTCAGGACGGCGCCAGCCTGCTGGGAAGTTACGTGCTGCCCAGGTTCGTGGGCAACATGCTACGCGTGGTCACCGAGGCCATACACACCCCTCCAGCTAGGTTAACAATCCCTCTCTAGGAGTTCCTCTGAGCCTTCTTATGAGTGTGAGAAGTGTGAGTTTTTCTCCATTTGGGGAAAAAAGAAAAGATTTCTGAGTATTTCCCCGCAACACTACATTTGCCTAATCCATTTGCAAAAGCAATGTGCTCATCTGCAAAGAAAATATTTGCCATTTTGACCTAAAGAATCGAGGTCAATATTTTCGGAGCATGTTTCATTCCCCAGAATAAAACAGATTATAAACATTTTGTATGGCTACATAATCCAAGTAGCTTCTGGTATCAGGATGTGTTTTATTGGATACACAAATCTTCCAATTCAATCTGTTGGGAGAACCAGAGAAGCAGACGTCTAAGCTTCTAACCTGAGGCTGTGATTTATTGTTTCAAGCACTCAAATTCTTTTTGTTCGCCACTCCTGCACTTGCTTCCCACATCTCACCCGTTCTCCCAGGACCCATCTGTCAGCTGTCAGAAGCCGGAGTTGTGAAACCAGCAACTGGCCTCTCAGCACTCCCTGAGAAACACAGGCCTCTCCTGGCCACACCAGAAAAGCAGCTCCGCTAACGACGTCTGCTGCCCCTGACAAACATCCCAGGAGAAGGGCGTCACAGCACTCTAATAAACCCACGGCCCAGGTCCATGCATTAAGGTATTCTAATGACAAGTTTTAGGGGAATGAGTGAACCCCTACTGAATAACCTATCTGTGGATAACACACATGGGTAGAAAAAGCAGATCCAGCCCAGGCGCTGCTCCTGAGAGCCTCGTGAGGACAGCACTACCCTGTCCTTCCCGGGGCCACGAAGGGGAGTGACCCAGCTTGTCCTGACCCCAAGGCGCCCACGCTGGGGGAAGGACACCCACACAGACCATGCTGCGTGTAACTTCTGACACACACAGAGATTAAGGGAGGTTCCAGAGCGAGAAAACCAGTTAGGTGCAAGCCAGGCAGGAAGACACTCCGTGTCACCTAAGGATGGGGACAGATTCCCA